TTATTCACCCCCCGGAGCCGTGTGAGGCACGTTTTATTACGGATGCGCGTGCTTTATTTGACTACTTTTGGACTGTCAAACAAAAACACCTGCCTACTCCCATTCTAACGCTTGGAAGAGCCAGGACAATTTTTACAGTTTTTCTCGATTGTTAACACACTATAACTGATTAATTTGGCCCAATTTTCCAAACCATTCATATAGTTCTCGAAACAAAGACACATTTCTCAAAACTTTTAACACATTTCACCTGTTTGCACACACGTTCCAATTTGCTCAGTGTTTTCTGCAAAACTCTACACAAAAACACTATCATTTTGCACGTTTATCCATGTTCTCATTCAGAAAACACAAACACACAATATAATTAACTCAAGCATCAAAAAATGAACTCAAACAGCGCACATTTATCCATGTGTGAACATTAAGCAGCAAAACTGATGACACACCAGTCAGAATCTTAGGATGATATAAAAAGGAGCACAAGTGATTATGAGTTTTGGAAAATGAATCCTGGTAGTGGGAAACAAAGAGGAATAGGAGGGGAAAATAAAAATTAAGGGGATGAGGTCAAAGGTAATTTGTTCCTGATGAAATACAAAGCACTATAGTTGACCATGTTCTTCTGCATGGACTGACCATGATGGAAGTTGGCCTACAGGCTCATCTAAAAGGTTTCAATATTACTTACAAAATACACATACAATATAATTACAGTACATAGCAGCAGTACTTCAGATGAAAGAACTTTCATTATTCTATGTACAGTAAACACTGTAGCACATGTTGTACACCCTCAAACTCAATACTGTTGAATTGATTTGTAGCCAAGTAGCCCTTAACATGTGCTCTATTTTTGCAGAACTGAGAGACGGCTGTCTAGGGAAGGCAGAAAAGTCTTTTGTCAGAAGACTAAGCAACTACAGAACAGTTTTTCTGAATTGCTAAAATACTAAACTCCAATCTCTGAACCAAATTCTCACTAGCTTAAACCAATTTGTCGAATAAAGCACTCTTTCTGCTAAACCTTAAAC